CTCGACTGCATTGCAAATACACCACTTGTACATTCAAATGCAGGAGGCGAAACTCACATAACATTCGTACACGACCCCAATCTCGCCGCACTTCGCCCTCGGCGTCCTCGGTCGGGAGGGCCAGCTCAGCGAGCCTCGCGGCAGCTCGACCGCCGTCTCCGTCTCCACGGAGGAGTGCGGCTTCGTTCTCGCCGAGGTAGTCCGCGATCACTCCACTGAGCGCCAACTCAGCGGTGGCGGAGCAGGCAGTAGCAGCATCGCAGTCGGCATGCTCTTGTCCCTGGCCGCCTACGCTGTCGTCGTCGCTGTCGTTGTGGCTGACGGCCTCGCCCAGGCGGCCACCGACGGACAAAAGCAGCGGCGAGGACCCGCCAGCCGCAGGCACGGCATGGTCCACGAAGGCGCCGCAGTCGTCCACGTCGCCGCCGCACTCTCTCCCGCCGTCGTAGCCCACGATGCCCAGCGCGCCCAGCGACAGGTCGTCGGACGCGGCCGCGGCGGCTGCCACACTTCCCACTTGTGATCCTGACCTGCACTCCAGGAGCGCTGGGCGCGGCGGCGGCGCCAGGGCGCACTCCGTCAGCCAAGCCGCCAGGGGCGCCTCGGAGGCCACCGGCGGGGCCGAGAAGACAACGGCACCACACGTGCACCGCATCCCCGGTGGCAGCAGAGGCTCGCGCTCAGCCAGGTGCCACCCCGCCGCCAGGCCCGAAACAAAGGACACCGTCTCGGCATGCGCCTTGGCCCACTTGCCTGGCGCCAGCCGCGGTTCCGAGAGGGCCTTCTCCAGGTCCACAGCATACAGCGCACCTGCGGGCAGTTCAGGAAACGGGCCCGCCGCCCCCGCGCCTGCCAGCAGTGCGCACACATCCTCGTCAGGCTCATCGTCCAGCCGCTCCCCTAAGGCACCACCGAAGGCGCCCGCCTCGGGAGCCGCGGGCCTTGCGCCGAGCCTCGGGCCGTGCTGCGCCACGCGGAGCTGCGCAGCCCCAGCGTCCAGCAGGTTGATGCCCTCAGCTTCCGCATGGAGGGCCACGTTCCGTCTCAGGCGCTCGACCGCACTCGGCACCTCCCCACGGATGAGGGCAGCCAAGGCAGGGGCGGCCGCTGCCAAGCGCCTGCTCAGCTCGCCGTCCGCGCCCGTAGCCCCGAGGGCCGCCGCCAGGTCCTCGTAGAGCCTGCGCCAGGCCCGCGCCTCGAGCGACAAGCGGTGCACGGCTGCCTCAGCCGCCGCAGCCGCTGGATGGCCAGCCAGGGCCGCCGCTCGCATCAGGCCGACTGTCGCCACACGGGGCGACATCCCGCGCCATCATGCCCAGACGCCCGCGCGCGCGCGCCCGAGGCAGGCATGAGCCAAAATGGCTTGAGCCAAAATGGCTACGGATCGTCGCCGTCGTCGTCCTCGCCGCCGTCGTCGTCGTCGTCGTCGTCGTCGTCGTCGTCGACGTGGCCGTCGTCGCCGTCGTCGTTGTCGCCGTCGTCGTCGTCGTCGTCGTCGTCGTCGTCGTGGCCGTCGTCGCCGTCGTCGCCGTCGTCGCCGTCGTCGTCGTCGTCGTCGCCGTCGTCGCCGTCGTCGTCGTCATCATCGTCTTCGTCGTCGTCGCCGCCGTCGTCGCGGTCGTCGTCTTTGTCGTCGTGCTTGTCGTGCTCGCCGCCGTCGTCGTTGTCGTCGTCGTCGTCGTCGTCGCCGTCGTCGTCGCCGTCGTCGTCGTCGTCGTCGTCGTCGTCGTCGTCGTCGTCGTCGTCGTCGTCGTCGTTAACCTTGTCGCTGTCGTCGTCGCCGCCGTCGTGGTCGTCGTCGTCTCGTCGTCGAAGGGGGAAAGGGGAAGAGCTCGCCAACACACTCTGGGCTCCAGAACCTCCAAAATCACAATCTGGGGCCTCCAAAATGCCATCTGAGCTGGCTCAAACTGGCCGCCCACACACGGAGGGGTCGTCAAAGACGGCCAAGATGGCCGCACTATTGCCCAAGACGCGTCAATGATGCCCCAAGAGGGCTCGAAGATGACCCCCTAGAGGCCCCAAGAAGCAAGCATCGTCAAAATCCATTGGGGAAGCGCATATTTTGAGTATGTTCGCATTTGGGGTCTTCACAGCGTGTAAAAAGGCCCGAAAGGTTCCCGACATCGCTCCAAGACGGCCCAAGAAACCTCCAAGACAGAGGGCCCGAAGACGGCCGAAGAGGGCCCCACGACAGCCGAAGAGGCGCCCGAGATGGCCCACGAGAGCCCCGCCAAGGCCCCACGGGACAACCCGAACTGATATTCCGAATCCTTCGCCCCAAAGGAGGACCCCCCGAGACCGTTAGCAGGCGCCCAAGAAATTCCCCAAGAGGCCCGAAAAAGGCCAAAATAGAGGCCCCCAGGGAACCCCCCAAAGGCCCCACCCGTGGACTTCATCCATTTTCGGGGGGTCGGCGGACTGGCGCGAGCCTCTTAGAAAATTTCCTCACTGCGACCCTACCTAGAAGGTGGAGCCCCTAGGAAAGTAGCATTAGTTGCTATGCTATACGATGCTATGCTATACCATGCTATGCTGCGCTATGCTATGATATGCTGAGGTATGCGATGCTATGCTGCGCTATGCTATGCTGCGCTATGATATCCTATGCTATGCTATGCTATGCCATGCTGCGCTGTGCTATGCTGTGCTGCGATAGGCCATGATATGCCATGCTATGCTGCGCTGTGCTATGCTGGTCTATGCTATGAAATGATATGCTGCGCTATGCTATGCTACGCTATGCTATACTATGCTGTGCTCTGCTATGCAAGCGCTCAGCGAAGCTAAGATGAAGGTAAGCTAAGCTAATATAGACTTGAGCTAAGATGAAGCTAAGCTAAGCTATAATGAAATAAGCTAAGCTAAACTGAAATAGGCGACGCTAAGCTAAGGGGGCGTAGCTGGGGGAACCGCGGGGCGGATACTGGGGGAACCGCCCGGGGCGCTTTCCACTGCCCGGCCCCTTTAAGCCCAGAGAGTAAGAACCCTTCTAGGCAGAGCCTAGGTAGGGAAAAAGCACCGTTGCCCAGGGCCGACTATTACTCCCCCGCCGTCCCTGTCTAAATGTTGCGCCCTGGCGGCAGAAGACCCGAAACGGTCCTAGAAAGGAACATCGAACAAATGCACCATACCTTGCGTGCGGGAGGCCGCGCGGTCAGCTGTGCGGGCGACCGCGCGGCCATGCGGGAGACCAGACGGGAGGCCATGCGGGAGACCATGGGGCCACGAACCGCCGTTTCTGGACCAGCATGAGCTCACAGGTGCCACGCACATGTGTATGGAAGCCTGTACGTATGAATGCATGTACGTGCGTATGTGTGTATGAATGAATGAATGAATGTGGGCAAATCTACATACGTAGAAAACTGCAGTGGCGCTCCGCGCCCTGCGTCTTGCTCCGGACGCTTCCTCGGCACCGCAACAGAGAATCGTTTGCTTCAGCAAGGGGGGCTCTCGAGGTCTGCACGGGCGGCCGGCTCGCTTTTCTGACATCCCGGGTGCCTGCTGACACCGCGCTCGCCCGAGGCGCTTGGACGCTTGTGCGCAGGAGTGGGGAAGGAACGGTGGTTTTTCCACGCGCGAAGGTGCTGGCAAACGACGAAGCATCAAACTGTTGCGATGGCACCTGTCCATGAACGGGGAACGGGAGGGGAACGGGATAAGAAGGGGGCTTGCTGAAGAGGCGGGGAGGGGGAGGAGGAGGGCAGAAACGGGGAGAAGGTCCAGAGGAAGGAGCGGGCGAACGAGGATGGCCATCGGATACCACGAACGTGGAGATCGACGAAGAAGGCAGAGGGGGGGAAGGGAAGAGAGAAAGAGAGAGAGAGAGAGAGGGTGATAGAGGTAGGGGAAAGACAGGCGGGCTGGCGTGAGCGCGACGAGCCCACGGAGCAAGCCGTCCGGGCGTTTTGGAGGCTCTCTTGGGCCGTCCTGGGGCCCTCTTGGGCTGTCCTGGGGCCTTCATTGGCCGTCTTGGGGAGCTGGGGCCTTCCAGAGGTCTTCTGCAGCCATCTAGGGTCCTCATGGGGGCCTCCACTGGCCTTCTTCTTGGGGGTATCCCATGGCTTTCGTGGGTCTCTCTTGGGAGCCTTCTGGGGGCATCTTGGGCTTCTTGTGGGTAGTCTCGGGGCTCTCTGGGGCAATCTTTTTTTTTCCCCCGTCTGGCATAAGTATTCGGAGCTGTGGCAGTTCCAAAAGCTAACTCGTCATCGCTACTTTTTGCAAGGTTCAAGATGCATGGCTGTTGCATACAAGGCGTGGAGCCCGAAGCCTCTCGCAATGCGGACATGCTTCCACACTATCCCAGCGACAACGGCACAAGCTAGCCGCTTTGAGTTGGAGGATAAGGATGGTGATGACTTTCAGTCGCTGGTTCGGGATGACAAACTGACTCGAGGGATCGAGCCCCATGGGAGAGGAGAAGAGGCGAGGCTGCCATCAGTCACGCTCAGCTTGGATGGCCTTCACTCAAGGATCCAACACAGATTGGATGGCTGCAGCAGCATGAGCCTTGAGCAATGTGCGCATATCTAAGCCAAAACGCCCATGATATGCTTCAGGTAACTCACCCTGTGCAAGAGGCGTACCAAGAATACCACTTTCCGACACCCCGCCACTTAGCTCCCATGCTGAAATAATCGCATTCATGTGGACAAATATCGGTGCCCCAAGGTTCTCAGCTGCATTGACGGACTCATAGAGGGCTTTCGCAGCAATCCTCACACCTTCACTTGTGAGGCGATCTCGACAAGCCCTCAGCTTTTCTGGAGCGATGCCCAACTGTTCGACTGCATCGTCTCCCTGTGTTGCCAGAGAGGGGAAACCAGCGACATATCCAAGCAAAACGCTGTTAGCTTCATGCACAGAGATAGTTACACACTCTGCACCCTCCGCATCCTGATCACAGAGCCTAAACCTTCTTGAGTCGATGCCTTGGTCATCCCCGAGCTGTCTCCTCCACACGTGCAGCTCCGTGCCATCGTCCAGAAGGCGCCGAA